GAGCCGAGCTGCCAGCCCGCTAGCCCGCGCGCGAGCAATCGAAAATTCGAAAAGGGGCTGACGCGCGCGCCGGCCTTCAGCCCTCCACATTTCCATCCGCTCCTTTTCCTCCCGCCACCACCACCGCCCAACGCCACCCAACGCCACCCAACGCCACCCAACGCCACCCGCCGCCATCCGCCGCCACCCGCTACCATCTGCCGCCATCCGCCGACAGCCCTCAGCACCACTGCGGCCACCAACAAGTCGACGGCTTTGTCATCCTCTGGTGCTGCCTGTGCCGCCTACGACGTCTTGCTGCCGCGGTGCTCAGCCAGCAATCTCAGCCGCTGCGCCGCCTTTCTGCCCGCCGCCTCTCAATCATCGGAGACATCGGAGCGCGCTCTCCGACATTTCCGATGATTGAGGGCCTCGACTCGCGCTTCCGCTCCAGCCACGCCACGCCAGCATCGCAAGCATCGACAGCATCGCATCGACCAGATCGACACTCGACAACATCGACCTCACCGCCACGCCTCTGGCATTGCCGCATCCTCACCGTGAGTCCCTACTGACGCTTGCCTTGCCTTGCCCTCCAGCCTTGCCCTTCCTCCCACGCCGCCACAGCAGCTGCTCTGACATCGGCATCAACGGCCTGGCGATGCTTTAGGTGAGTGCCGCTTGCCTGCCAGCGTGCCGACTGCGCTCTCAGCCAACGCGCAAGCATTGCTGACGCCTGCTCCTCCTCCTCCTCCCTCTCTGACTGCCCTTGCTGCGGATGCCGCCGACGCCCTCGCCAACGCTCTTGCCGTGCCCTGCTGCCGCCGCCTCTGCCTTCGCGCCTGCGTTTGCCGTCAATTTGCGCCACCTCGCCTTACCCTGCCGCCTTGCCTCGCCTTGCCTTGCCCTTGCCGCCTCACCCTTGCCGCCACCGCCGCCAACGCCCACTTTGTCGCTCTGCCACGCCGCTTTGCCACAGTATGTAGACTAGGTAGTATTGCAATCGATTCTGTGCCCATCAAGTAGATACGGCTGTGCTGCTTGTGTGCCTGCACGGTACTCAGAGCAAGGGCATGCTACGCACGGAAAGTGTAGGGCTGCTACGGTGCCAAAATTGTAGGGCCGCTACACGCCTCGGAAGCGTAGGGCCCTACGCTTCCCTACGCTCCAGGACCGTAGCGGGCCTACGGTCAAGGGTCCAAAAATCGTAGCTGCAGATTTTTCGAAGCGTAGCACCAAAGCGTAGCACCAATACGTTTTCTTCGGGCCGTAGGTAGGCCTAGTTGTTAGCTATGTCTTGCTGGGATACAGAAAAGGTGTCTCCATTAGCTTGTCCCAGCACCTCCATCCTCTGGTTGGCTTGGCCACCCTGGAGCTGCTTTACAATCTTGCCAAGACTGTGATGCCAAGCCAAAATGCTGTCAGGTGTAGCTGTAGTGATGTACAGCAGGACAGTGCCCTGGATAGCAGCTGCATCTGCCTGCCAGCTGAACCGCTTGTGCTGGGACAAAGTACTTGCTCAGCCTTTCCCCTGGCTGCATTTTTGCAAGCGTCAAAATTAGCAGGAAGGCTGTGAGCAGCCACTCTTGAATCTACATCATACATCAAAGGCCAGCTGACCATATAAGTGAGTGCCTCCCTGTGGGTTGGGGGAATGGTGTCTTTGGCAGAGAGAGGTGCAAGGTATGTGCTGCAGGAGTTGCGGTTGAGCTGGCTTGGCTCGACAACCAGGTGGTCAGGGTTGAAGCAGCCACCATGGTGGCACAAGTGGGAGACTTGGAATCGGCTGTCTTGACCGAGGCTGTGGATAAGCTCCTCTTGGCAACCGTCTGCTACCAGCGAGAGTTGGTGCAGGTATGGTGAGAACCTGATGCTGTTGGTATGGCTGAAGTTGACCTTGCGGTAGCTATCAACATGGGCTGCAACTCAAGTAGACAGCCAGCATCCGAGGCCTTGGTCATCTTCTTGACTGTGGTCTTGGCGCTCTTCTTGAATCTTGTTGTTGGCAATGGCCTGTGTGATCCTGCGCATCCTGAGGACATCTTGGGCATTCTGGATGTCTGCAGCCAGCAGGTCTTGCAGTTACTTGGCACAGGCTGTCTGCCAGGTTGGAGGGGTACTAGGCCTTGTGCTGATGCCTTCTTCCATGGCGCAGGCTACTTCCAAGTCATTGGTAAGCCTGCCAGGATAACACACACACACACACACAAACACAATGTGGGATTGGATGGCTTGGAAGAGGAACCATTAGGAGGCTTGCCATCTTTTTAAAGTTCTACTGCCTCCTAAAGCAACAACAACAACCTGCATCTACTGATGTCAGCTTCTATACACTATTGATTGATAAGATTGTGTCTGCACAAGCACAGTGATGTGAACAACATCACCTTCTTCATCAGCTGCGAAGAGTGGCTGCATCAACAAGCTGCATCAGTGGTTCACTGCTGCAGTCAAGGGCCCGCAACAACCACACGACATCCTTGACGTTTGTCATCAGTCTTCGTCCCACTCCCCCCCGTGCGTCGAGAGCGGAATCAGTCAGAGAGCGGCTGCAAGATCAGATTACGTCCCGTCTCGGAGATGGTTTTGAATCGCTGCTGGATACAAAGCTAAGTGTACAGAATCGACCGGGGAATTCAGGGCGGGCGGGTGACGGGGCACAAAAGGAACGACGGCGTTGGACTACGGGGGAAGGAGGGGAGGGGAGGTTGGTGAGGGGAGAGGAGAGGGGCCAGGCAGGGACATCGGCCTGAAAAGAGGGGAGGGGGGGCGACCGCGACACACTCAGTGACGGGACCGCGTGGCGTTGTAGAAGTAGGGCTCTTCGTCGTCGTCGTCGTCCTCGTACAGGCCCTTTTCGGAGTCGGGCCCATGTTCCGCGTCGCTCCTCGCACCCTGGACGTAGATCCCGTTGGCGAAGGGCGTGGCAGAGTGAGGGCTGGCGGCGCGGTCGAGTTCGGCGAGCTTGGCGGGATCCGTGCCGTCCTCGACGAGGGCGGAGGGGTGGTGTCGCGGCGGCAGCTCGGGGCTCAACTGGCCCGCCAACCGCTCGCGGCCGATACGGTCGACGCGCACCTTGGTATCCCGCGAATAGTGGTACATGGGTACCGAGCCGCCCGAGCGCGACTTGGACGTGTCTCCGCCGCGGGTGGAGCGGAACGAAGGTCCCTTGCCCGTGACGCGGTGGAAGAAGAGGTTGATGCCGGGAGCGCTCAGCGCGATCATCGTCGTCCCCATCTCGGCCACCTCGATGGCGAGCAGCGGCGAGTAGAGCCAGCTCTGGTCGGCCGCGTCAAAGCCGGAGATGATGACGAACACCAGCCTCGCGATCGAGACACTGGCGGAGCGAGAGGAAGAAGGACGGTAGAGGCGGCGAGGAAGGGAGAGTCAGTCGAGCTGCGCGCAATTTTCCTCACAGCGCGTCGGACGCGACGGCGAGCGGCGCCGCTCCGGACCATCACCGAGGTATACTCACATGGTCGTCAGCACGCCGGGACAGAGGATGAGAATGAGCTTGATGCGGATGCTCGAGTCGGTGCCCTTGAGCGAGGCAATGACCCACGCCGGGATCGTAAAGATGAGAATATCGGAAAGGAGCGAGATGGCCGAGTTGGTGGTATAGATGACCTGCCAGAGCATGCAGGTATAGTTGAGGACCTCTGGTTGCCACACATACGGCCATAGGTCGGTCACAGGGAGGCAATGGAGGAGAATGAGGAGGAATTGGACGATGAAGCCTGCAGTGACAAAGGCCACGGTCGACCAGATGGCCACACCCATCCGCGGGATGTTGCGGCAGAGGCGGTGGTAAAAAGCCAGACCGCTTAGCCGACAGATCCACAGCGCCGTCGTGTAGAGTAGATGTGCGTAGAAGTCGAGCCGTTCCGAGTATGAATTCATCGGTTGATCCATGACGTATTGAATCCACTCGATGTGCCGGCCGGACCCGATCTTGATGAGGATGATGCAGAGCGCGCCGAACGCGACGTAGAACGGGATCGTGAGCGCCGCCAGCCAGTCGTCGGGCCCGGTGAAGTTGGCCAGGAAGGAGCGCGAAAAGAGACGGAGCAGGACGAGGAGCGTAGCAAAGATGATGAAGAAGTAGATGAACGCCAGCGCGCCCGAGTCCTGCGACTCGAGGAAGCGCGAGATGGGCACATCCGGAGGGATGCGCCCGGCGTTGTAGGCGCTCTGCACCGCCTTGGGCACGCCGGTGGCGAACGCGGTCGGCGTGACCGAGTAGGTCGTCGGCTCGATGAGGACCGCCGCCATGTTGACCGTCGACTGCGAGCGGCAGGGGAAGTGAACGGATGGGTCGAGGATGGAGGAGCGACCGGGTGGACGGGGACAAGGACAAAGATGGCGAGGATGGTTTGCAAATGCCGGCGTCAGGCCTTTTTAAGGCTTCATCGACGTTGGGCGAGGTGTAGGATCTTGCTGCGAGATGGCCAGTTATGCGCCCTGCAAACGAGGAGACGGTGTCGCTTCTGTTGCTTCGACGCAGGATCCTCGGAGCGGGCCAGACGAGGGAAACGAAGGGTTGGGCACAGCGCGGCTACCGACGACCAACGTGTTGCATCCCGTCGAGGGTGGATGGGGGTTCCTCGCTTCGAGGTGCACGTCGACAAAGGCTCAGGTCAACGCGAGGTCGAGGTTGGGGGAACGGCGCGACGCGGGTGGGCGGAAGAGACCGGTGTCGTGGTGCGGTGGGCGTGCTGGTGTGCAAATGCAGGCCGGTTGCGATTGACCTTGATGCTGAAGGGAGAGAACGACAGACGACGCCGGCGCCGACAGGGGGATCTCGCTCGAGCTCGTGATAGGCCTAGGGAGAGAGTCGGGGAGGCAAGGATGGGTCGATCGGCTGTCGATGGACGTTCTTTGCCGGTTTCTATGGGCGGTCCACTAGCCTGCGAATGTCGCTGCGGCCCCGGTCGACGGGCGGGCGCAAGATCGAAACGAGCAGCGACGTGCGTACGTGCCTGCTGCCAGCGCCCTGTCACTGCTGTCAGATGGCGAGGAACGGACTAATGTAGGCACGCGGCGTGTTGCCCGTGCGAAGAGATACAGACGGTCGGCGTGCGTGCGGTGTCGATGCAGTGTGGTGCGGCGGGCAGGCGCAGGGAAGAGAGAACGAGAGGCAGAGAAGCAGCGATGCCTAGGGAAGGGAGGAGGGGATGAGGAGAGAGGGAGGGTTAGGTAGTGGGAAGCGAAGCAGAGAAGAGAGGCAGCGTGGACAGGAGAATGGCGAGGCCGTGGTACGATATCGTTGGAGGCGAAGTCGAGGCTGCAGATGGGCAACGATGTCGTACACGGGGAACGGGGACTAGGCGAAAAGATGGAAGGCCTGTTCGATGTACGTACTGGGCGTCTTCACACGCAAGAGGGCGGCAACGATGCTATGCTATGCCATGTACGGCAGACGGCTTCCTCGAGGAGCAGGTCAGGCAGGTACGGTACGCGCGGCAGCGGCGATGTCGAGCAGCGAGGGAACAGCCATGCACGCACGCAAAGACGTCGAAGGGGGGCAGGGGTACGCATGGCAGGCGACTTTCGGTCCGGTCTGGGTTGTTCTCTGTCTCACGGGCGCACCACACACTAGCTGCTGGATCATCAGCGAGGAAGGGGGGTGGAACGGGTTTCGAGGCCGCGAGGCGGCATTTGGACAGCAGCGGGCATGACGGCGCGTGCGTTTGTGTCGACGACTGCGACCTTCCGGATCGAGCATCGAGCGTTGTACCGGTGGCAGGTATCAGCCAGCGAGTGGAGGCACCAGTGCACCACAAGGCGGCGGCGACGAGAGTGTCGGAACGTTTCGAGCCGGCTGAGCGACTAAAGTGCTGTACTGCTCGACGAGCCGCTGACGACGAGCGGAGGTTGACGAGGACCGCAGCGGAAGGGCCGGATCATGTCGCGCCGGCAAGAGCGCTGCTCGTACTGCTCAGGCGGCATCGCAGAGTATCGAGGGCCGAAACGGTGTTGGCCGCCCAAAACGTCGAGCGAGCTGGATTCGGCCAAACAGGTACGGGTACCGCATCGGCGACGCAGGGCAAGCCGGAAGATTTTTTTCTTCTCTTCTGTCCCTTGTTTCCTCGCATGTGGCTGCTGGTCAGCTTCGTTCCGCGCTCCCATTGACATTATTGTTTCTCGGACCAGCATCATTCGATCATGGCCTGCCGTAAGCCGTGCTGGGGTGATTGAAAACACTCGTCTCGCCAAGACACGGGGCCCGAAAGAGGCAGGCCGGGCAAAGCCGCCAGGCCCAGGCGATGGATGGACGATGGGCGAGGAGCCGGTTTCGTCAGGGCGGGAGACATGCTTGGCTGCTTGGCTTTTTCCTCCTCAAACGTGGGCCCTAACCTGAGAGGAGGCAGGCTAGGGCACGGCAGGGACCCTCGTGGTGTCTCGAACCCCGATTGAGCCTAGCGCTTCGCTTGGGACCCTCATCGGAGCCAAGAAGTGTCCCGACCAAGATTGACGTTCCCGAAGGCCGGCCCGTTGGCATCCGCCGCCCGAACGGGAGTCGCGCATTCGGTAGGCCCTGCCTTTACCCAAACATCCAAGAGCATCGATCGCTGCGGCGGCCCGGAGGAATGAGAGAGCGACTTCGACTTCTTGATACCATTGCCGCAGCCAGCATGTATGACGAGAGACCGAAGTTGACGGTGTGGCGGCCTTGATCGCCGCCTTCTGTGCGGCCGGAGGCGTTTGTTGTCGACGCCCTTGCATCTGTGCACGGGATCGATTGCACCTGCCATGATGGGCTCTTCATGGAACGCAAAGCCCAGCCACAAGAGCCCATAGAAATCGATACCTTGCACTGCGCCACAGCTTCGTGGATCGGCGCTGCTTGGAAACGATGCGAAGAGGCGGCCGAAGACGGCGGAAAGCAGCAGCAGATGGACGCACACACACACACAGACAGATAGCCTCTGCCCCTTGCAGACGATCGATCTCGGCAAGCGACGGCGGCACACGGCAAACGTCGATGGGCCGTCCTGCCTTTGACCGGTTCGGCCCTCGGCCCGGCTTTTCGGTCATGTCCGCCATTGGTGGTGGTGTGACGGCGTCGTCGTCGTCGTTGTCGTCGCCGCTTCCCATGCATGCTTCGGTGCATAACTATATCCACGTACCGTATCAGCAGTCGTCGGTCTTCAGCAGCACGAACCCCCCAGTCCTTGACCCGCCTTCTGGTAAACCTTTCAAGGGGATCGTCGGTGCACACCAGACAGCGCTGACAGTCCGTGAATTCAAAGTCCTCCCTTTCCAGACAGAAGCAAGCAGCAACCGCCGCACGGTCGGGAACTTCGTTTGACAGATTCGCTCTCCGCCCGGCACGCTGTTCTGCTGGCTCGGTGATCCCTAACACTGCCGCTCGCTACCTGGCTCCTTTCCCCTCGGGCCGCCCTCGCTTCGTTTGGTATCCGCGTGTTTTCCCTTTTCCTCGTCCCGCTCCTCCCACACGACCACTCGACCATCCGAAACGAACCCTTAGGGGCTTGGCTGGACGGAGTTACTCGTCGCCGCCGTCTGCTCGCGACCAGCGGCTTTTGGTTGTTTGCCGTCGCCGTTGTCGTGCGCGGATTACGTATGCTCGTTCAATGTGCCTCTCGCTCGCTGCAAGGGCGAGGGGCGGCGCAGCGGCAGCACGGCACCGAGCCTGCCAGCATCGGCTCGAATCGGTGCTATACGGCCGCGCTGTCTGCCAACGGCCCGGTGCCCACCGAGCGATGCACGGCCGACCGACGAGCTCTCACGGACCATGTAGGTACGCGCTCGCTTACCGTTCCTTTGGAAAGGCGCACCTCGCCGCCCATTAATTCAGCCAGACAGCTACGATTTGGAGCGTATGTACAAGGGCGGCGATCTTGACCGGAGAGGAAGTCGACACTGGCAATCCTCGCGCCCCCCAGAGATCTCAGCGCCGACAAAAGGGCTGTGGACGGCATCGAAAAGCCCTTCAACCGCCGGCGAAGTGAACAATCGGGCAGCGCACGGTGGTACCGATAATGAACGTGGGCTCGTGGGATTTGCCGCAGCTGCTGGCTGGCTCCCGCTTCGGATCCCCGAACGTGGGAACAGACAACAGCCGACGTCCGTGTTTTCGGGACATGGGCAAGGGGCGTTGGATCGGAACAGTGTGCCGACGTACATGTGCACACGCTAGAGGCCTGCTGCCACTTGGTAGCGAGAGACGGCGAAGAAGGTTGGCGAGCAAGGGCAGGAGGGCGAGATGAGACCAGGCCAGGCCAAGCGCGCGAGATTTGCGCACGTCCACGTTGCGCTTTCCAGGCAGGTCTGCCCCCCCGGCCTTTGCGATCTGCGAGGCCGTGGTACGGTACGCTCGAGAATTTAAGGGAGAGAACGAAGATGCACGCAGGCAGGCGGGCGCACAGGCGGTTTTACGAATCTAGGTCGCTTCCATGGAACGCTCCTCTCCCCTTCCTGCTCGCCAGCCTGATCTTGGTCGGCCGTATGTACCGCACGACCATCAGCAACATGTGTACGTACGCGTGTACAGCTGGTTGCTTGCTTACTTCAATCCAAACGCAGCCTGCCACCCGGCGCACCTTCAGCTGTTGCTGGCTTTGTTCGCCGCACGCAACCCTCGATCGTTGATTGCATGGTCATACGTGCGCCCGGGTCACGTAGAGGCATGCTGTTCCGTCGAAGGGTGGCAGTGTGGTACTTGAGAGCCGATCCAAGCTCAGTCGTGGGACGCTTGAGTCCAAGGGCTGACAGGGCCAGTGGTAGCAATCTAGAGCTTGCCATCGGTGTCGCGGAGCCGAAGGGGGTTGCCTGCTGGCCGCAAGCAAGAGAACAGGTCAAGGAACAAGCATGGTTGCCAGGGTTGGGTTCCGCTCGTCGGCGTGCTCCATACATGTATGTATGACCTCCGCTACAACGCAGGACGACCCCTCCGCCTTGTCGACGAGCAAACAACTCAAAAGGCGATGCAAGGATCGACGCCACGGCACGGCCATACACGTACCGGCCGCTTCTCGGTCTGCCCTTTTGTTCCCCGACTTGACCGCCGCCGTTGTTGACCACCCTCGCCTCATCCATGTGGTCCCGCGCGGAGCCCAGCCCAGCCCCCTGCTGTCTGTACCGCAACACGGCGCGCGCGCGTCCTTCCTGCCGAAGCGTCTGGTGCCCATCCGTCCTTACGGCAGGCCTCGCCAGCCTCGTGCCGGTAGGTGACACAACACACAAACGACGTTCGCCTTGCCTTGGCAAAACCTAGAGCGTTGCGGTATGGCCGCGGACCTCTTTGATGAAGAATGAAGCGAGCGGCGTGCGAAGAAGCAAGAAGGAAAGATCAGAGCAACAACACCCGCGCGGCGCTCCACGAGGCGAGGGCGAGGTGTCCTGGCCCCGCCGAGAAAGACGAGCAGAGCGCCCGCCTCGAAATAGGCGGCAAAACCCCTGCCGCCGGTCCCTGGGGTCGTGGCGGTCTGCAGGTCCCATCCATGCCATGCCCCCCCCCCTTGGGCCTGGCCTGACTTTCCCTTGACGAACAACGACCGCCGTCGTCTGTGGCCTCTTCGTCCGTTCCTCCGTGCCGTTGCTCATTCGCCACCTCGTCTGGCCTGCCTTATAACTCCATCACCCAGCGTCCGGCTCATCGCACACGACCTCGGCCTCCAACGCTTCCGCTCCGAACCTCGCCTCCCTCCTCCTCCTCTCCGACCAGCCATGGTCCGTCTCAACACCCTCCTCCCGCTGGCGGCCACGACGGCCGTCGCCGTCTCGGCGAGCTACGCACCCGGGCGGCGCGCCGACACCGACGTTCTCGTCTCGTCGCAGGTGCTCGGCAAGCCCTTCCCCTACGAATTCCCCAGGAACGGCCAGGATGGCTCCAAGCTCTTCCCCGTCGAGGACTGCCACGGCGTCAACTTTGAAGAGGTCGACATCGACCAGATCCAGTCGTGGATGTCGTCCGGCAAGCTCACGTCGCAGCAGGTGGCCCAGTGCTACCTCCAGCGCATCAACCAGGTCGACGGCTACGTCAACGCCATCATGGAGCACAACCCGGACCTCATGACCATCGCCGCCGCCCTCGACGAGGAGCGCAAGCAGGGCAACGTCCGCGGACCCCTCCACGGCGTCCCCTTCATCGTCAAGGACAACATCGGCACCAAGGACAAGATGGAGACCACCGCCGGCTCGTGGTCGCTGCTCGGATCGGTGCTGCCGCGCGACTCGCACGTCATCCACCGGCTGCGCAAGGCCGGCGCCCTGCTCCTCGGTAAGGCCACCCTGTCCGAGTGGGCCGACATGCGCACCAACAACTACAGCGAGGGCTACTCGGGCCGCGGCGGCCAGTGCAGGAGCGCCTACAACCTCGTCGTCAACCCGGGCGGCAGCTCGTCGGGCAGCGGCGTCGCCGTCGGCGCCAACATGATTCCCTTTGCGCTCGGCACCGAGACCGACGGCTCCGTCGTCAACCCGGCCTCGCGCAACGGCATCGTCGGCATCAAGCCCACCGTCGGCCTGACGTCGCGCGCCGGCGTGGTGCCCGAGTCGCTCAACCAGGACACGGTGGGCGTCCACGCCAAGACGGTGCGCGACGCCACCTACGTCCTCGACGCCATCTACGGCGTCGACAAGCGGGACAATGCCACCTCGGCCCAGGTCGGCAAGGTGCCGCCCAAGGCCACCGGCTACAAGCATTTCCTCACCGACAAGTCGGCGCTGCGCGGCGCCCGCTTCGGCGTGCCGTGGGACAGCTTCTGGCGCCTCGCGCCCGCGACGCAGCAGCAGCAGCTGGGCGAGCTGATCCGCCTGATCCGCGACGCCGGCGCCGAGGTCGTCAACGGCACCGAGATCCCCACGCGCAAGCTCCTCGTCAGCCCCGACGGCTGGAACTGGGACTACGGCACCACGCGCGGCTACCCCAACGAGAGCGAGTACACCTACATCAAGGTCGACTTCTACAACAACATCCGCACCTACCTCTCGGAGCTCAACAACACCGACATCAAGAGCCTCGAGGACATTGTGCAGTACAACTACGACAACGACGGCGCCGAGGGCGGCAACCCAGGCACCCACCCGGCGTTTGCGTCGGGCCAGGATGGCTTCCTCGCCTCGCTCGCCACCAAGGGCGAGATCAACGAGACCTACTGGCAGGCGCTCAACTTCTGCCGCCGCGCCTCGCGCGAGGACGGCATCGACGCCGCGCTGTACAACAAGGGCGACAAGGTCGACCTCCTCCTGATCCCCACCGAGGTGGCACAGGCGCCCCAGGTCGCCGCCCAGGCCGGCTACCCGATCATCAACCTGCCGGCCGGCGTCACGCCCGAGACGGGCATGCCCTTCGGCCTCGGCCTGATGGGCACCGCGTTCAGCGAGGCCACCCTGGTCCGCTACGCATCGGCCATCGAGGACCTGCAGAAGACGTCGGGCACCCAGCAGAAGCGCCAGCTGCCGACGTGGCGCAACTACAAGTCGCGCATCATCCCCGTGCCCTTTTGAGGATCGTCTTCGGTCGGACGCAGCGGCGGACGAGCGTGCAAGGCAAGGGAGCGGCTCGCGTGCAGTGTGGCTCGCGGTGGGCCTGCTCATCCTGGCCTCCTTGGTCTTCAGCTGGCGAAATGTAGAGTTAGGCGACTAGAAGAACGAATGGTAGAAGCGAACACTTGGTGCAGGCCCTGATATTCCATGTACGACCCGACGTGCGAGCGCCGTCCCCACCGCACCCGAAGTGTGAGCGGTGTGCTGAGGATACATAGCAGGATGGCTCGGAAGAGGACTTCGGGTGACAGATCGCCCCACCAGGTGCCATGGTCACCTTGTTGCCTGAGCAACGCGGTTGGCGCCCCCACCTCGCTCCCCGGGCCGAATACTACTGCAAGTTACACAGCCACCGCCGATGCTCGGATGTTGGGCGCAAAGGGATCGAGGTCGAACGTGCCTTCCAACATAAGTAGCAGCTGCTCTCCGTGGCAAGGCGGCTCCATCATCTCCAAGCCCTCAGTCATCGTCCCCATCATTTGCCGCTCCTCGCCCTACACGTCTACGCCCAACGCAAACTCTCGATCCCCTGCTGCCATGAAGCTCAGCTCGAACCTGTCTTATCTCGCTGCCGTCGCCCTGATGGGTGGTGCCACGAGCTTCGCGGCCAACGTCAAGCCCCAGCCTGGCAACATCCTTCTTAGCACCTTCGGCATCGTAGGACTCGGTACGGTCAGCCTGCAGCTCGACCCCACCGCGCGGGACCAGACCAAGCAGAACCAGATCTGCTACAACGGCAAGGGGGCTCGCTGGCGCATGGACGGGGCCGGCAGGGACGTTTGGGTCACGGTCGGCCACTGCCTTGCCATGAAAGACATGCTGCCTCAAGATGACCAGGTCTGGAACGCCCTCCTCAACGGATGGTCAGGTGGCCGTCAGCCAACGGACTATTCCATCTACAGTGGGTTTTCGCTGAAGCCTCGAACGGGTCAGCAAAGGTTTCGGATACCACATCGCTACTGACACTTCGTCTCTTTCATCTATGGCATAGTCGAAGGAAGGGCCATCCAGCCCGGAAGCCACACCCTTGGAAAGTTCACGGCTTCCGGATAAGGTCGCGCTACCTGCTCCGTCATCGTTGGGCTCTACAATCATCGTTCGCCCGGCGACCGGCCTTCCAATTGACCCCCAACAGTCGTAGCTGTATCCACGTTCGTGTTGAGCACGCCTTTTTGCGCCTATCTTACCGGGCGCGGCGAGCGTGAGAGTGCCTTTGTCTGGGTCGGAAAGAACAGTGCCTCTCTTTCTCGACGGTGACGGCCAAACGGGCATGCGCGCGCCGGGACAGTCCTGGTCATGCCAGATTGAAACCACCAGGACAGTGACAGTGACGAGCAGGGCCCGGAGGTGATCAACATCATCTTATCTGTGCCCCTCGTAGGGCCCGGTCGCCAGCTGCTGCAGTTGCGTGAAGGCGACTTCGAGCGGAGGTTTCGACTCGTGCGCCAAGCGCCTCTTGCCTAGCGATGAAGTGTAGAGCGAGCTTCCTAGTCGCCGCTCATCGACCCGTCGCCCCTGCTGGAAGGGCATGGTGGAACCCGATCTCACCCAACCCACAGTTGATGAAGAGACGCCGTCGAACGAGGCTCGAATGCCCCACCGGGCACGCGCTCACCGGTCACACCAGAACCCACCTCCTTTGGCTGTCCATCTGACCCCACCCTTGAAAATTGATGCGAGCGGACGAGGTCACGAACTGGGAAATGTGTCTTGCTGCCGGTGGTTGGATTGCTGCGCCTTCCAACCACGTCAGCAAGGTACCCGTGGCGATTCGCATTGCCTCCATCCGGCGGGTACCTGCCTCCACCCCGTGGCGGTATCGATGGGTCGCCAGGTACCCATAGCCGGAGATGTGGGCTGCGGACTGAAGTGGGGCGGCCCCACTCCCGCTCGCAAAGAGACGAGCGAGTCGAAGAGGCGCGGCATCAACGACATATGTATAAAGGCTCTGGTCAGCTGCGCACAGATCTTATTCAAGCATTCGCGACTCCCCCAACGCTCCACAACCATCTCGGCCACCCAGCTCCGCACCTCAGCGCATCAAGATGAAGTCGTATTCCTCCCTTGTGACCCTGGTGGTCCTAACCTTGGCCGGCACCTGTCTTAGCCAGCCCGAGGCCAAGCCCCTAGCCAAGGTCCAAGCTCGACCCGGCTACACGCTCGCTGCCGACCTCAACATCCGCAACATTGGCACTGCGAGCCTCCAGTGGGAAAAGGGAGTCGACAACTCGGGTCAACTCTGCATGGACTTTGTCGCTGGTAAACCAAGGCCCGAGTCGTGGGCGCTCGAGAGGGAGGTAGTCCGGGGAAAGAAGCGAGACGGCTACACGCAAGCCGTCAACGATCCGACGAAATGCGTTGTCGTCGGCCCGGACGGGATCGATGCCTGGAACGATCTGATCTTCGGACACAAGGATGACACGCGTCCCGGACACGAGGACGTTGTCCATTACTCGTTGCTCTGTACGTGCTTTAGTCCCACGCTCTGTCGAGACCGAGAGAGACTGTCTCTTACCGGCCCACACCCCCATCCCTGGCGGCCATCTCGACGCCCTCCCCCTCTCCAGTCTACATGCCTGGCTACAAGCAAGGCAGCGACCCCCTCAAGATCACGCTGACGGAGAACTTCAAGCACTACTGAGGGCCGCTTTTCCGGTACCTCGTAGCTTGTTCTTGCTGACGCGGGTCGTCGTCAACCTAGCAGCTCGGAGCGAGCTCGGCCACGGCGGTACAAGCATATGGGCCATGATCCATTCTCTTTCCTCTGAGCGTATCCTCGTATGAATCCTGAAGCTCTGACCCGTCGTGCGACAGGAATTGAGAATGTGTTGCGCCCCTTTCGACATTCGAAAGCGGAATGTCCGAGTCGGGAACAGAGAACGCCCGGTCGTCCATGGCGTATCTTAGCGTGCGCGAGGGGACTCTGCAGCCGTGAAGAAAGCCAGGCACCGTCGCCAGGCACCGTCGCTTGGGTACGTACCGAGTCCGCTTGTTCGTGAACGCCCACACGCGCGACTCTGACTTGCAGCTGGGCGAAAGCTGTTGCGCGACCCGCTCCTGGGAGAAGGCCACCGTTCGCGGAGCAAATGAGCCTTTCAGGGTCGGGTATCGTCGAGGTACAGCTCAAACCTGACGCCGGATATGCTTCCGATCGCGGCGGTTCCCTGAACTCTCTGGTGCCAGCGCATGGGGATGAAACAGTCGTAAGTGGGTCGAGAACGAGTTGTCCGCCCCACATTTCCGATTCGCGGCTGGATCGAGAACAAGAGCAAGGACGTAGTGCCCAGGAGCAAGGCCTGTGACCTTGCGTTCGCGCGTTGGGGGCATGCTTATAACACCGGGTGCGTTGCTCGCCTGACCCACCCTGATCAACACCCTCATCCTTCGCTCTGATTTCCCTTGAACACTAACCCCCTAAGTGCTGGCACTCTCTCGCATCGAACTCGCAAGCCCCCAACCACGAAGAATTTCAAGATGAAGTCGCACGCCACCCTGTCAGTCCTGGCTAGCATCCTGTTCGTCGCCATTGGCTGCCGTGGGGCGCCGCCCAAGGACTCGAAGCAAAATGTGGGGGCCAAGGCTATGCCGGGCTACAAGATCGAGGCTACCTACCACATCGCCAACGTCGGCACGGCGAGCACGCAGTCGCTCGTCACGGGCGACCCCAAGGTCTTGGATGAGCACCTGATCTGCCTCAATCAGGGCGACGGCGTCGTCACAGCATGGTACTTTACCGACCACAGGGGCAGCGGTACCGCCGATTCGTACCCGGTGGAAAGGTACGGCGACCATTGCACGCCGCTCTACGGCGCAGTCACCTACTCTCCCGACCCGTGGAAGACGCTCAGCAGCGGAAAGTCGGGCTGGACCGACTTTGCCATCGTCCGTGAGTACCCATCTGTACAGAATGGTCGAGGATTCGCTGCGGTGGCCCTTGTCGTCGAGCTTGGCGTTGCTGACCCCGTGGTGCTGGTGCCTCGATCGCGTCGCCCTCTCCCCGCACCCTCGTCGCTGCTGCCTCGCAGTCGAGAGAACTGGCAAGGATGACGTCCATGTCCTTCCCATCTTCCAAAAGGCCCCTGGTGTCTAGTAGCCTCGGTAAATGGCCGTGCGATCGGCTCGGATCGGATGGGATCGGCGAAGCCGTTCTACGCCGGTGAGCTGTGATCCTGTCGGCCCCACCCTCTCGTGCACGTTTGGCCGCAGTGGTGCAACCTTGTCGAATTGTTCCCTCGTCGTCGTGCCCCGGTGGGCATCGCCCCGCGACATCTTTCTTCCCTCTTTGGCGCGGCCCAACCCGCAACCTCTCGCCTGTCGCTGGCATACGCTCCTTCGTATCCTCGTGAGCGCTGCTGTGGACGGCCTTTCGAAGCCTTTCCTTGACGAACGAAGCTGCATCCTGTTCCCTTCTTGCTGGCTTGCTCGCTCGCTTACGAATCCGCCGAGTCGATCTCAGTCTGTGGCATCGTGCCATACGTGTCTGTCAAGACCCAAAGGCCCGAAGTACGGATTGCTGGATGACTACTGCTCTCTCCCACGCTGGCCCCCTCACCCTCTGCCGTGCCTTGGAGTCGCCTCCGTACAACGTTCAGGTCACCACACCCTTCCTCCGCCGCGGCACCCGCTTCAGGCCAACCCATCCGCCTCGTCCGCCTCCCACCTCACATCGTCCTCGTCGTCCCTCTTCTGCCTCTGCAACACCTCGCCAAGCAGGCGCGCCAGCCTCTCGGTGCCCTGGCGCTTCTTGGCCGAGATCGGCAGCACCTTCATGGTGAGCTCGTCGGCCCGCGCCTCCCTCCCGTCGGCATCCTCGAGGGCAATCTGGCGCACCGTCTCCCTCAGCCTGGCCAGCTTGGCCTTGGCCGTCTCGACCTGGACGTCGGCGTCGGCACCCACGCCCCACAGGTCGGCCTTGTTGGCCACGACGACCTTGCACCGTCGACTGAGCCCCTGCCGGAACTCTTCCAGCTCCCGCCGCAGCGTCAGCAGATCCCGCTCCGGGTGCGGGCTGTCCGGTCCTATGTCGATGACGTACACCAACACGGGACACCGCTCGACGTGCCGCAGGAACTCGTGACCCAGCCCGCGGTTCTCGGCCGCCCCTTCAATCAGGCCCGGCACGTCCGAGAGGGTGAGGCGGAACGTCTCGATGCCCTGCTCACCGTCCGCCTCGGCCTTCGCGACCGGATCGGTGTCGATGCCCTTGAGCTTTCCGAATCCTTCCGACACCTCGTCGGTGCCGACGCCGACCAGCTTGCCCTGGTCGTCGAGCCGCACCACGCCCAAGTTGGGGCTGAGCGTGGTAAATTGCCAGCTACCCACCTCGGCCCGCGCGCCGCTCAGCGCCCGCAGCACCGTCGACTTGCCCGCGTTGGGCAGGCCCACGAGCCCAATGTCGGCGGGCGACTTGACCTCGAGCCGGATCTCGACCGACTCGCCGACGGTGCCGCGCGTGGCAAACTTGGGCGAGCGGTTGGTCGACGTGAGGAAGCTCGGGTTGCCCAGCCCGCCCATGCCGCCAGACGCGAGCAGGATGCCCGGCGACGAGGCGGGCGTTGGCGTCTCGAGGTCGACCTGCCAGGCGACCCTCTCTTCCCGCCTGCTTGCGCGCACGCCGTCGACGCCGTCCTCGTCCGCCCCCTCGTCCTCTCCGACCTCTTCCTCTTCCTCTTCCTCCAAGAGGTCCTCCTCAAACGGCGTCTGTGAGGCCGCGCTCCTCTCCAGGTCAGCGCCGGAGATGGCCAGCGTCGACGCTGCCTTGGCTGATCGCGAGAGCTGGCGCCGCTTCTCGAACGCGAGCCGCATCTCTGCCGCCCGGAACTCGTCGCGCCGGTAGTTGGACTCCTCGGACCGCGGGTAGTGGCGCCAGACCTTGTCGCGCAGCATCTGGATGTGCATCGCCTCTGCCGGATCCAGCAGCGCCTCGCCATCGATGACATCGTCGTCGGCCTCTCTGGCCTCCTGCGCTGCCTCGGCGGCGGTCGTTGCGTCGGGAGCGTGATCTGGATCGTCCGAGGTTTGCCCGTGGTCGAGCGCGTACTGCTCGCGCTGGGCGAGGCGCCTTTGCCGTTCTTCCTCCTCGGCCCGCTCAACGGCCTCTTCCGGGGCGACCATGCCGCCCATCTCCCACTTGGCCTTTCTCGCCCTCCGCAAGAGATCGGTCTCGTACTCTTGCACCAGCAGCTCTTCTTCGTCCATCTTGCGCCTGACGGCTGTCACGACGGTGCCGACGGGCACCTCGATGACCTTGTCGTCGGCCCGCCGGCCGTGGAGAAACGAGCCCTGGCCGTGCTGGCCGTCGGCGGCTCGGTACCGCCTCGAGAGGCGCGAGAGGTTCGTCGGCCCAGCCACGGCGCGGATGTAGACGCTGCCGCCAGGGCCGCCGTTGCCGCCCGAAGGCGGCCCGTACTGGACGTACTTTTCGCGATGAAAAGACACGCAGCCATCGCCGCCCCTGCCGCCGTAGACGCGCACGTTGAGCGCATCAACAAAGTTGGACTTGCGGTTACGCTGCCACTCTGCCTTGCGGCGCGCCCTGTCCGACAGACCCTCGGCGGTGGCGGAGCTGGCAAAGGAGCGGGAGACGCACGACGAACATCGCGGAGGGCTCCGAGACGAGGAAGGCGATGTTGGAGACGAGCCCGTCCGTAACCCAGAACCGACAGCAGTCATGGCGAGCGAGCCCGAAGGGCGAATGGCTGCAGCGGCTAGGGTGGTGTAGTTGCGAGCAGCCTTGGGCGGCCAGCCGTCACCTTGGTCGCCGAAGCGGGCAGAGGAGCCGTGGCCGGGGCCGGCACCACCGGCAGCCGCAAAGCGGGATCGCGGCGCAGGCCGTTCCGGGCGGGCAGCTTGGTTCAGCGGATAAGGATCGACTTCCGCTTCGACCTGAATTTCGACATCGTCTTCGTCCGTCCGCGTCCTCCCCCTCCGAGAAGGACCTGTCCCGTGCTCCTGCCTCCTCCGGCGAGACTCGTGCACCGAGTCAGCGATGCCACCTCGGAAGCCGCCGAACCTCTTGAGTGCCGCCTCGGCGTCCTGGAGTAGCCTCGAGCGTGACCTTGGGTTCTCGGCTGCGGTGGTAGAGTCGAGGCCCTCTGCGCCGCCGACGCGCCTGGCGCTGCGGACTGGAGCGCGCTGCGCGGCCCGCTCGACGGTGACGAGGATGTCTCGCGGCGTTGGGTCGATGTGGAAGATGGAGTCGGTCTCGACGAGAGACTGATCGAGCTCGTCGCCTTCGAGGTCCGGATCTGACGCTTCGAGGCCGTTGGCTGCTCGACCTAAGGACGAAGGTGCGCGTCCAAATTCCGGGTCAGCCTGGTTGTCGTTGGTCCAGTGGGTGGCGCCGAAGTTGTAGTAAGGTGCGGGTAGGGTGCGGATGCCGACGAGGGGAGCAACGTCGTCCCATCCGGGGCGTAGTGCTGCGGGGTTGCGTATGAGTTTGGCGTCCCACCTGTGGCTGGCTGCGTGGTAGGCGAGGGAGGTGGCGGCGGGGTCGGCGCTGCCCGCGAGGCGGGCATGTGCAATGTCGTCGAGGTAGGTGTTGCGGGGCCGACTGGACAGCATGGACGGCAGCTCGACCCTCCAAGTGGCCTCGCCTGCCGAGCTGCCCCTTAGGGCCTTTGCGACGGCATCCGGGTGGCGGAAGACGAGGCAGAGGTAGCCGAGGAGCCTTTGGGCCTGGGGTTCGCGCGGGCAGTGGAAGAAGTCGAGGTCGCCGAGGTGCCGCGCGAAAAAGTCGACGAGCGAGAGGGTGTGGGTCGCGGACAGGAGGTGCTTGCCGTCGTGCGGACGGACAAAGAGGGTGCGCGAGAGGGCCGAGTCGGTTGGGTTGGCGGGCCTTGCCTGGGACAAGTGCCGCACCAGGCCGAGGTGCGAGGCGGAGGCGAGGCCAGCGTGGCGTCGAGAGAGGCGATATGCCATCTTGGGCAGCGGTGCCCTATGACGGGCGTGGCGTGGCGAATGCGGCGGCCGTGCGGTGCGATGCGAGGGTCAAGGTGGCGGTGGTGGTGGTGGTGGTGGTG